ACTCGATCACTATAGGAAATCAAATTTAGAGATATAGTATCAAAATACCACCAAGGAAAAGCCTTCTAAAGGTTGGGACGTGAATTTTCAAAAACAATATTTGATTCTTTTTCTTGAAGTTGAATTATGAAGCATCATATTGCTGGATACTTTAGAAAACAAGTTTTGATCTGTTCGTAAGACATAAAATCGAATGATGGTAGTACGACACTGGACTGATCTGGTGCTTAACATTAAAGCAATGCGGCATAAAATTTGTCACAAACTCTTTTAAAAAAGGATATTGCTATGTGTACACCAATGGCCTACACCCCTCTCACATGGAGGGGGGCCCACAAATATTTTATTGTATGTGGGCCCCCTCCATGAGGGGGGGTGTAATGCTATGTGTACACCATTGTGTACACATAGCATTGTCCATTAAAAAATTATATCAATAGTGAATAATGTATCTCATTCTGTTTGCAATTCCTTTACTTTTAAAACTTTGATTCAGAGTTGGTCATAGCATGGTTGCACCATTGAAATGCTTATATATAGCTAATAGCAATCTCCATTTCAATTCCAAATACCAGACATATTCCCCTGTTTGGTATTGATTTAAATCTGATTTTAATCAAGGACAAAGTCAAACAATCAATATTAAACACATATTTCATGGGTCCCACAACTTTTCAACCACACATTTCAAAAACTTCTATCAAAATCTACTCAAAATCTAGTTTAAATCCCCACCAAACAGGGGCATAATTTTTCTTTAAAGACCTTTTATCAGTTTCCAAGGAGAAAAATTCTGGCAGCACCTCTCTTTGCCCAATGAAATGCATGTTTAGCAAAACAAAAACTAAGCCTTATTCCCAATTAAATTTAATACTTTTTTGCTACTTGGTTCATTGTTAAATCTACTCAAAGGTCCAAAACAATCCAATCTTTGGCAACCACAACAGACCATGGTTGCCAAGAATGTTAATCACAGACAACTCAAAATGGTTTGTGGAGGTGCGGATATAATAATTTATACCGAGGCAATTTGGTTTCATTTTAAACATGACATGAATAATTTTATACCTCCTCACATCAAGTGCAACAAATGGAATTAGTCGTTCAGAAAGAAGCTGGGCAATAATCTGCAATATCCAAATTAGACATCTAAGAGAGAAATTACAGTGAAATTAGCATACTAGCTTGACAAATATATCAATGATATTAAATGATTTCAAGAAACAAGAGTTGAAAATTGAAAGGTACCTGGCCAACACG